GTTGCTAATCTATGGTGTTTCGTCGATAAATTGTAGTTGCGACGGATTTGCAACAGATTGTTGGTTGTTGCTATTTCGTTCGTTAGTAATCACTTAGCGACGAAAAATTAGTTCTATCGCAAGTTTACGACGTATTAGAGACGAATGATATCCGTCGGCACTTGTTAGTCATGAACCGATCCGTCATTATACTTATATAGTTTGTTCCTAATTTCCTAATTTATTTCGTCATTTCAAATATATTCGTGACGAATTTCTGTCACAAATCCGTCACAAAATATTCTGTTATTTTTTTCCAGAATTTTTGGCACTGAAATATTTCGTCGCTAATCCGTCGCCAACATTATTTATAGCAACGACCAAATCGTCATTAAATTTGTTGCTAATTTCTTTTGTAAAAAAATTCATTTATTTATTTTAAATATACACTGCTGAAATAAATTAAATAACAATTATTAAATATCTCTAAAACAATAAATATTCATAGAATAATATTTAGACAGTTCAACATTTGTAGATAGCAGAATCCAAGTCACAAATTTTTGGAGCAAAACATCAAAATAAATCTAAAAATTATTCTTAGGAGAACCTATGCTCATCAACTTTGGATCATATTGAGACATTTTTTTTTCGATATATCTCTTCATATTTTGTCTATATATAATGATAAAGAGAAATCATTAAAGATTAGGAACAAAATTATAATTATAGGAAAATGCAGTAACATACATAACCTTTTCGATTAATTAATTCTATACTTTTTATCTAACTTATATTACATTTAAGCTTAGATTAAAATCAAAGAGTTGATAATTATGTACAACAACAAAGTATTCAAGAATACATGCTATAAGTCTATAACCCTACAACTATACATTAGTCCCAACAAACACATGAGGAGACAAGTTAGAAAGTAGATATGAACCTAAACTAAAACTTGATATGTGATCCAATAAGGGAATTTTTTTGAGTCATTTATAATATGTTGAGGATAATTTTGACCCTTTTTTTTTGTGCAAAACTAGATAGGAAAAAAATAAACACACTTTAATTGACACCTCAAAGTTCAGAAAATCTTGGATGAGTTTCAAATGTTTGAGGACCAAACAAATGTAGTTCATATAAATATCAATGAAATACTATATGGACCTGTTTAAGAAAGAACTAAAAAGAAGTTGATGCTCACAAAGCTAGATAAAAATTTCCATCTTCAATAGGTAGATTAGCAATAACATGTTTGTTCTGCAAACTAGTACTTGAAAGACCATAAATAATATCATTGATGACCTTATTATCAATCACCAGGTTTTGTTGTCATGTTATAGGTTACAATCACAAGGCCACATGAAAAGACGACTTAGAGCAAGAATGGATGGAAAAGTATAGGTAAAAACAAAAAGAATGGAAAGTTGTTTTACTCTATATTCTAGGTGGTCATGTCCCACCTTCTAGATTTTGTTTCAAAAAAATCACCATCAACTTTCTTGTACTACTTTTTTTCCTTTATCTTCTTTTGAGAAAATTATATCTCTTCATACTTATTTTGGTAATTACTTTTGCATTTTCTCTGAATTGTACAAGCTGAAATTAATATGATGGAAAACTCCTTATTGAAGATAGACAAATGTTCTTCCTACTTCGATGATTCAAGGATTAACTCGATGAGAAGGACTCAAACTGTGATTAAAACATTCCAGCTTAAGAAGACAAATCAGTTTAGAGTTAACAAATCACATAAAGCTCACGCACACAGCAGGTTCACAAACCAGTAAGCTAAGAAAAAAAAGAGAAGAACCCAAACAAGAATTAGAGAGATAGATTTTAGGGAGCAAAATTACCTTAACAGATTCACACTACACCAATTAGGTAAAGTGATAACAAAAATCATCAATAGAAATCAATAAGCATTTCAAAACTTGATGTAATAAGAGAAACAACAATAACTTAATATAAATTTGAATACAGAGATAAATAAAATCATCAAGGATACATGTTGACAGTACTAAAGTTTACTTGTAGCTAGATGGACAACCGGTCTGATAGCGATTTATCAAACACAATAGTAGGTTCTTCTCTCTATGTTGCGTTGTTATCCTAATTACTAGTCTGTATGGATGATAAAATACAATCAATGGTTTACACTTCTAGTTACTTTCCTATTAGATATCAAGATCTTTTATGTCTTAGTAAGAACTGAAAATTTATGGATGATGCATGAGTTATACTTTTTAGACTTCAACTGTAAATCTTTTACAAGATTTGATAATATGAAAGTAAGAATGATGGCATCGGAAAGAAGAAGGAGAAATAGAACACTTACCGAATGTCTATGTCTTTCTTCAATTTTCACACACCAGATGGTATACCTTCAAAACAAAGGCAAATCAAAGGAAAATTTATGAGATGAAGTCCGTGAAAAGGAAAATAACAACCTAAAATGAAGATTAGCTCACTAAACGGATCGACACTTGACTTCCCCAGAATGTTTGCTATTTACTCATAGATTAAGGAGACGGAACCAATAGTTTGAGAACCACATCTTGACCGAAATATTTTGGTGTTGGAAGGAGAGAAGGGCATGAAACATCGTTGAGCACAATGTCTTTCTATAGGATGTTACTCCTAAACAATGTTAGAGAAGATATAAAATCTAAACTCCAGCAATTTACTCATTTAACTTGTACACTGGAGCACCTAAAGAGTAAAGATCCTAGAATGATAAACCTCAAACCGAGCAACCCACCAAATCACAAAGAAGAGCGTACATTACAACTGCTCTATAGCTAAACTTTTAAAACAGTGGTCTCTAGATGGGTACCTTGCCTAAATGCATAAGCCGATCCTATTATTAGCGTATTTCAAACTTTCTTTGGATATAAAGTTGCTCCCCCAAACATACACAAACAGGTACCTATCTCGCAATTCAGTGAAAACAAATGTAGCTTCAGAATATATGACATGTAAAACACGTGTTTCACCGCTAAATTCTCCACGGGGAAATTCAATAATGTAGTTTGAAGCTCTGGTATGCATTCAATATTTTAAAGAGTTCTCTAAAAGAAGATACAAGAAAATGAAAATTGGAACTTTCCTAATAACACATTACACATTGTTGCAGATTTCGACTGCATTTATCTCTATCAAATATTAAATTCTAAAGCAAATCGAATTTTCCAAGTGATCATATAGCCATATGCTCAGCAACAAATAAGTAAACTAGTCAGAATAGAAGCAACAAACAGAAATCCCCAAAAGACATTTATATCCATTCTAATATACAAATTACATTCAGATAGGAGTATTATTGCTAAACATCTCAAAAAAGGGGCAAAACTTATTAATGTTACAAGAGTAAACTCCTACTTCCTCGAAACGAAAATGAAGTTTATTTTCCACTCAAAACAAAAGTTAAAGTTGTTCAGACCTCACCGGTTGGGACTAAAATTGATCAATGTTTCACTTGCTCTTGACACTGACTCCTTCCTTCCCAGAAATGATAACAACAGTGGTCATATCCAAGAACAACCCATGCTCCACCACTCCTTCGAAAGATGTGATCTCCTTCCCAGCCGTAGCAGAATACCTAATAGCAATTTTGAAATATAAATCCACAATATAATTCGAGTTATCGGTCACATATGACTTCCCATTACAATCTTATCTCAGCTTTGCATCAACACCCTCTTTGTCAAATAATTCCTGTAACCTAACCAAATTGTACTTCCAACAAAACTACACCACCCAAACCGGCATAGCTAACCCGGATCCACCAAGACCCGGAACAAGTTTCGAATCATCAAACACAACAACAAAACTTACCAGACGCTGCCTCCACCATCTTCTCTATTAAAAGAGCTCCTCCTCGACCCTTGCATAGGTTGAGATTCAGTCGACCTCATCACCATCATCAATAGTTAGATCAACATGTGGTGGTCATCAAATGTAGATAGTGGGATGTTAAGCGAAAAAGCTTGTTCTTCAGTACGCATCGAAGTGGGAACTCCTAGGATGTTCGTGAGTTGGCCAGATGAAAGAAGCACCCAATTTAGCGACAACGAAAGTTATTGTTGACCCAGTTCCTCGACCAAAGACCATTCCACTTTTCAGATACTCAACGGTCTTATCAGCTGCGAGTTTCTTGAGTCCGTCTTGGGTTAAAGGTGAAGGAACGAGTGCAGAGAAGGCTTTCATTAAAGGGGTTGTGGAGCGAATACTTATAGTGGGGTTGCGCAAGAAGACAAAACATCTTCACTTAAACAAAAGCTTGAAAAGAGATTATATTTTTAAGAAAACCCTATTTTTCAGAAAGATGTTTGGAAAGAGATAGGTATTCTCTTTTTGTTTGATGTGGACTCACTTTGATCCAAAAAAATTAATAAAATGGTCCCCTAGTCAAACATAGTGTTGAAAAAAACTTGCAACAGCCTAAGTGACGGATTATAATATCTGTCACTATAAAAAAATTATTTAGATTAAATTCTAGTAACAAAATTTTCCGTTGCTATATAATTTAAATTTCATCAAAATATATTTATAATTGTAGCAACGCTTTTCCGTCACAAATTTCATCACCAAATATTAATTAAATTTGTCATCCCTACTTTGTTGCAAAATTTGTAGCAAAATTAGGGCGCCAAAATTTCGCACTAAGTTTTAGCGACTAAAAAAATATTCCATCACCAATCAGTCACTATATCACATGTCAAAAAATTATTTGCAATTTTTGCAACAAAATAGATGTTCTGTTGCGAATCCGTTGTTATTTAGCGACGGAAAATAATTTGTCTCTAATATCCGTCGTTAATCATTGTTTTTTAGTAGTGTACAGTTGGTGCTTTGTTTCTCTTTGTGCCTCTTCTAATATCTTTATATTATTAAAAGAATTTTATTTTATATAAAAATGAAAAAGAAAAGACACCATAAAGAATTTCATAAATGAGTTCTCTATATATCAACGTTGTCGTTATGAATTTCTGTGCTTGAGGGTTGCAGAAGTACTTCTCTGGTTCTCCCATCTGTAAGACAGATACGAATACCAGGATTTACTCCTACCTAACCCAAATAACCCTATTCAATTTTTTTTCATCTCATTTGACATCAATATAATGTGGTTATGATGACACTTGTGATGTACTTTGCTTATCCAATATGTATGGCCACTTTTGCAGCATAAGGAAACAACTACAACCACTTAAGACATCAACAATGTGTAGTGTAACTTTAGTTTATTTGCTTGTACATTTCCCCTTGTTTCTCATAATTCACTACAGTAGCACATTAGGTTGCTGACCATGGACATTTTACCTGACAAAAGAAAATCTTATTAAGATTTATACTACTCGCTATGAAGTATCGGCGATGTATGGAGAATTATAAGCTGGAAATAAGGTTCTTTTTCGCTAAAGGCTGTCACTTTCAATAAATTTTTATCCTCCTATAATTTGTTTAATGATTCTTTTTGTTTCCTTTAGGGAGAAGGAGGTTGAGTTTGTTGTTTGAGCATTATTTTCATTGTGGTGCTAGCATTCTGCCAAATGAACTTCCATGTTTCCCCAACTTTTGTGAGCTTTTCTCTTTCTGTCTGTTTTCTCTAGAATGGTCAGCAAAGGTAAATAGACAAATCGATAGCTGAAATCAAACTTGTCTCAACAGGTCGTATAGAAAAAGACTACATGATTTTGGTCCTTTTGAAACATTGTTGCTGCAAAGTTTGTTCATTTTGTTTTGATTCTTATCTGTCTCATATTGTAGTGAAGAAAACTCTCTCACGGCTGGTGAGGAAGCATATGTTGTTCATATTATATTCTAAACATACTTGGAACAAAATTTTGAACATCTTTGTAAGACAAGAAAATTTAAGAACATTTTCATAACTAGAAAATTAAAACTAGTAGAGAAACTAGAATCAGAAACAGATTAAGAAAAATAAATATCTGAAATATTTTTCTTAAAGAAGAATTGTTGTTAATATGTGCATAAAGAATCTTACTGATTCCAACAAACTTTGCAGAAACACAAAGTTACCAAGTTTAATGAACCAATGAAGAACAAAAGAATAGAATAACTGAAATTGATTCACAAATCTAAAATTTGTAAACACGTACCAGAATCTAGAAATTTTTAATAGGAAAAAGATCAAGTCCACTGAACTCACAGTGTCCCCTTAGGGAAATTATTCTCCTTTAGTATCTGAGATTTGATTTTGAATATGACCTCCCAGGGTAAAATGATCTCAATCACCATAATATAGATACCAAAAACTCCAGTGTCAGCGAATCACTCAATGGCAGTAAAGTACACTTAGAATACTAGATTTAGTAGTTGAGGAAGAAGTCCATGAATTCTATATTAAAATGCGAGGAAATCCCTCAATTTATAGAAAACAAAGGATAGTGCAAAAAGATTCTTATTGTGCCTTACCGGAGAGGTTACAAACCTTTGAAAAAGTCACAATCTTTCAGAAAGGTCGTCACCTTTCATAAAAGTCATAACTTTCCATAAAAGTAATAACTTTTCATAAAATTGGCAACTTTTCATAAAAGTCGCAATTTTTCATAAAAGTCTCAACATTTCATAAAAGTCACAACTCTTTATAAAAGTCGCAACTCTTCATTTTCCATTCACACCTTTTTAAAACCCAACAATCCCCCGCATGAATGGGGAATGACTCGAAGATAGAGAAATGGACAAGTATGTGTACTTTACATGCAAGAATTAATTGCATATGGATAAGGAGGTTTCCCCTTGGACTTTCCGTAGTCAACCGATGTTGGATATACTCGGTCAATCGTTAGATGTGATATCTTTGAACCGTCGAACTTTGGTGTATACCTAGACAACCATATGTAACACAATTAACCCTTTACCGGTTATGGTTCTTACGGTTGTGTTCGTTTTAGCCATGAACACCTCCTCGTTTCATGAGTGTATAGATAGATGGGTTTCGACAATCATCTTCTTTTAAGCGACTTACACTTCACACTCACATAGGTGACTCCTAACCGTGTTATCGCGTAGATACACTATTTGGTCATCTCTGCCAAACTTAGCAAATCATTAAAACCATTAAGATTTATTAACTCATTAAGAAGACTTAATGTTATATCCTTGTCCCTGAGCATTGTCTTCATCATGAGAATGAATTGAGTTTGTTGACAATGCCTAACCGTCATTCACAAATTTATTTTTCTCCTTGAATCTAGATCTTGGGATCTCCAATCTGATAGATAGAGTTACAACCATGATGACTTGTCCTAAGCTGTAAATTCATTCCCTTAGATGATCTTTTAACTTCCTCTCTAGTTAGGCCTTTTTGTAAGTAGATCCGACATATTATCCTTTGACTTTACATAGTCAATTCTGATAACTTTACTAGAGAGTAATTTTCTAACGGTATCATGTCTATGTCGTATATGACGAGATTTTTCGTTATACATCATGCTCCATGCCCTACCTATTACATCTTGACTATGAAAGTGTATGCATACTAATGCCAATGGTTTTGGCCAAAATAGAATATCTATCAAGAAATTTCGGAGTCTTTTAACTTATTCACTGACCTTATCTAAAGAACCTAGCTCAAAGATCATTGTAGAGCTAGCGATACATGTCTCTTTTGAAATATTTCTAAGAGACTGCTCCTCTACCAATAGTAAATACATATCCACTCGTGAATTTTACTTCATTCTTCCGATGATTCAATTTGCATCACTATATCTTTCAATATTGTTGGATATTGTTATAATGCAAGACATAGTTTTAAGTATTATTTTAAATACTCCAAAACTCTATTTATTGTCGTCTAATGAATTTATTTGGGATCACTTGTGAACGAACTCAGTTTAAAA